CCCCAGTGGGTTTTCAAGGCAGTAAATCTTTATGGAAGTAGATTGCCTCATCTTCCTTCCACGGAGCAGCTGGTGGATTTGAACAGCCAACCTTAGACACTGCGCCACCAGAGCTCCTTATTTAAATATTAATAGAGCTTTATTTCTTCCTTTTCTTTATATAAAAATAAATACAATGAATAGTTCTAACACTATCTTCTCTTTCTCCATGGGAGTTTTGGGTACTCTCCTTTGGGAGTTACTACTTAAATACTGAAACCCCTACCCAACACAACTCAGTCTCTCAACTGCTTTCCAAATTAGAACGAATTTGAAGCCAGTACTAATTTTCCATGGTCACCGCAGGTCAAATAAGATTCTTAGGGTCTTATGATCTGGGCCTTTACCCAAAATCTGATCCAAAACCAACCTTTAAAGATGGACAAGTATAATCTTTCCAGAATAATCACCCTAAAACACTTAACAAAAATAGTGAACAGTTACAGCTTCCTGTCTTATAAAATATTCATTCACTAACTTAAGAAATATTTGTAAACACACACATACACAAAGAAACATTTGCAAATGCCAGGCATCTCACTGACACAATCATTTGCAAGTACTATTTTAAATATACTATACTGTACTTTCATTTGTGGGAGAAGTGCCTGAAAGAAAACGTGTGGTTTGTGCCCCATCGGGTGGCCAAACTGGAAATTTCAAACAAGTTCCAACAAGGCAAGTTAACCCTAACTAATCAACATAATACCTTTGGGAAACTGAAGCCTGCAACACAAGTGTTCTCATTGGGAGGGTTATATAAATGAAAATCATGTTTCCTTACACTTAAAAATAAGGGAAGTGCAGCTAATGCAGAACCTCCCCCTTCCCGAATCCTGCAATAAAAACTTAGTCCATGACTATCATTTTTTGTTTAATCTACGTAAAAGTCTCATGGGGACAACTTTACATTCACAAATTAAAATCCCATCAATTTTTTTAAAAAAGATACCCATCATTTATTAATAATACTCCTTTAAGTGTTGTTTTCTTCATCTTTCAAATATAATTAAATCAAAAAAAAAAAAAAAAAAGCACAGAAATTTAAAGCTGGATAGGTCCTTAAAAAATACAGGGTTATGAGTTTAGATGCCATCAAGTCCAGTCCTCTCAATTTATGGATGAAGAACATAAAGCCCAGAAAGAGGATGTAATTTCATCAGGGTCACACCGCTATTATGACCTGATTCCCAATGCTTTCACATCCACGGCTCAAGAGAGTAGCAACATATATGATCTTAGACAAGTAACTTAACCTTTATGGACCTTGGATTCCTTATATGAATAAACAAGGAGGTAGTCTATAAATTCCCTGTCTGTTCTAAAATCCTGTAATTTACAGACCTCATTATTTTAGTATATTGCAAAACTATAGTATATAGGAGCTCTGGTGGCATAGTGCCTATGGCATTTGACTGCCAACTAGAAGGCTGGTGGTTCAAACCCACCGGTCACTCCTCAGAAGGAAGATGGAGCATACCGCCATTCCATAGACATACCACCTTGGAAACCCAAAGGGTCACTATGAGTCTGAACCAACTCCACAGCAGTGAATTTGGTTTTTTTGGTAGGAGCTCTGGTAGCATAATGCCTAAGGCACTTGACTGCTAACCAGAAGGCTGGTGGTTCAAACCCACCAGCCACTCCTCGGAAGGAAGATGGGACAATCTACTTCCGTAGTGATACTGCCTCGGAAACCCAAGGAGGGGTCACTGAGTCGGGTCCGGAGAAGTGGGAGGGGAGCTGTTGCATTAGGGTAAATTGTAGTCAATGTCATGAGGCAAAGTGTATGTGAACTGCTGTATGGAAAGTGAATTTGCTCTGTAAATTTTCACCCAAATCACAATTTTAAAAAAAATTATTCACAAACTTGAATCAAATACATTTTATGTGGTTTCCTCATATTGCTCTATTCTTTTGTGCTAATAATTTTCTGGATACTGATGGCACACTAGCACTAAAAAAAAAAAAGTAATAACAACAAGCTAAAGAATAACAACCATTAAAAGTTAAATCAAAGAAATTACGAACTGAAATGGATCCTGAAAAACTCTGGCCCTATATTCTTATTTTATAGAACAAGAAAGAGGCCTGGAAAGGCAAAAAGACTGCCCCAGGGTCTCATGGTTAACTCACAAAGAACGGGAACTTATCATACAATTGTGTATATAGAAAATTTTCAGTTCTATCTGATGCTCCACTTATTTCAAGTAGTATTTAATAGACCAAATGACAGAAAAACCAAAGAATCTGAACAGTTCAGAATGGTTCACAGTACTGGAAAGCACCACAGGCTAAAAAATAAGGGGTAATATACCAACACATCAGGAGCTCTGGTAGCATAGTGGCTAAAAGCACTTGACTGCTCACCAGAAGGCTGGCGGTTCAAACCCACCAGCCACTCCTCGGAAGGAAGGTTGGGCAATCCTACTTCCGTGGTGATACTGCCTCGGAAACCCAAGGAGGGGTCGCTATGAGTCGGGGGCCGACTCGACAGCACGTAACAACAACAACAACAATACCAACACATCACCACCAGTGCTTGAAAAACAAATTCAAGTGTTTGGTATACTAACAGTGTTTTAGGAGCATCATCTTCATATGGAGGAACTACATTATGAAAGGTTCTCTTCTCCAGCAAAAGCTAACATATCTCTTAAGCATGTCTTTTTTGCCCCAAAGTTTTTAAGCTTTTAAGGAATTTTAAATTCCTGAGCTCTAATGACTTTTACTTATGCTGCTGTATTATTTTTTAAAGGAATACCACCAACTCTTGAGAGACAATACACAACACACAGATTCTAACCCTATAAACATTTCTTAGATGATTACAGCACAGAGAAAAGTGCCCCTCACTTAATTTTGCCTACCAAACAATGAGCTATCCAGATTAGAAGCTACATAGTAGGGAATCTCTGCAGAATCAAAATTCAATTATCCACAATAAATGAAATTTTCAGAAAGCAATTTATAATTGGCCCAGGCAAAATAATTCAGTCACACATATGCTCAGGAATTCTGCCCCTCTGTGACCAACCTAGCGCAATCATTAGGGTTAGTACCCAAATGGACTATGTGAATAAAGAGTCCTAGGATCACTGATTACTCCAATCACAAAGCTGACATTACAAATCAAGAGGTAACTGCCATTTCCAAACTAAATCATATGCTTCCCCTTCCAGTCTCAGATATTCATTAATACAATTAATACATTAACTTAATTCTACGAAATAGCTAAGTGTTGTAATACTTAAAATGAATCATAGCATACATCTAGCCCAAAATCAAGCATACTCTACCACATAACAAATACAAGATGTTGTTTCCCTGTGTTTATGTCTTTTGCCTCCACAAAGAACTGGCAGTGGTGCTGAAAATCACTACTAGAAGGATGAAAGACTGATACTCTTTCAATAAAAACCATCATCTGGACTTTAGCCAAAATTTTAAAACTGACTGAATATTATTAGAAACAATAAATCAAAAACTCTACAAGCTGAGATGCCAGATCCTAATTTCATTCTTATTTACAAAATGTGGTCACAAAACACTTGAAAGAAAATGAAGAGACAAGAAAACATTAATACAGGCCTTTCATTTCTGACAATGATAAAATACTGTGTATTACAATTGAGTTTATTTTACAACCTTTAAGGTTTTGTTTAACCTACCTACATCTCTTTCCTTATCTCCTTCAGTTATTACAATGACTATATGAATAAATAAACTCACTACTCTTGCCTAAACATCCTTATCACTGAACTTAAATAGAAATTAAACAGAAGACTAAAATAATTTAATTCATAAAATCTAGCTATCATATGTGTGTTCATATTGATTTTATACTCTTTGTTCCTGCACATAACATACATGTGCATTCCTGGAGGTTACAGACAAGTCGTTCTCCATCAGCAGCTCAACAGCCAGTTACTGAGAATAACCTATTGCAATGTTTAAAGGTATCTTGCTTCTAAATATAAAAATGAGTTAATCATCTTTACTTTTCTCTGAATTAATGTTAAGGCATCTTTCTTATCACTATCTATTAAATACCCTCCAGGAGCAGTTAGCATAGAAATTGGACAAGAGAAGTAGAGAGAGCAAAAATTCTGTAAGACACAGGCACGTTTTAAAAGTGCATTGTTTACTGTATAGTAATTTTCCCTCTAGCAAACAAAAATTGTTGGAAATAAAACCCGAAAATTTTTACAGTTCCCCTCAGTCCTCCTTCCTCTTCCCTCTTCACTCCATTCCAAAACAAGAGCAAAGATGTGGTTACTTTGTATACTTCATGCAATCAGTGAAAAGACAAGTCACTGTCTTTTTATCAAAACAGAGCAGTTTATCACAATACATTGCATACCGTAATCACTATGTGATATACATTTAAACCAAGTTTCAACACGGTTACAAAGCCTTTGTCAACAGTGGGCAAGTAGGAAAAAGCCGAAGAGCTCTGCGGAATGAAGGACTCAGAGGAAATCACTGGAGGGGCTTATCTCGCAAGAGGATTCCCCGGTGAAAGGTGAGCAGAGAGAAACAAGACCTAACCTTGGCAAGGGGGCGCTCGCCCAGGGTGGGGACGAGAGGTCAGGGTAAGTGGGGAAGAGGGGATTTAGCGCCGAACTACCGCGACCCAGAGCAGCCTTCGCACCCGCAACCCCACCTGCGGTTCGCCTTCTCACCACCATTCCCCAGCCCAGGCCGGGGCTGTGCCCCTTCCTCCGGGCCGCCGCCTGCATATCCGTTACCCCGGCGGCAGCGGGGCTGCGGGGGAGGGGAAGGACAGCAGGGCCGGGAGGGGGACGGCCGCGGCGGAGATGCCGCAGTGCCTTCCCGCGACACTGGGTCAGAGTCCACCAAAGCGCGGGGAGGCAGCAGGAACCGAATACAGCGATGCAGGTCGGGACTGGGCGAGACGGTCCCCTCTCAATCCTCCCACACCTCAGCCCCTCTGGTACCTCATACTGGATGTATTGCTTCCTCCACTCGGGAGTGATGTGCGCGGAGAGGTGCTCGGCGAACTTCATCCTGCCGTTTCCCCCTTACTCCCACTCGGGTCCAGCAGCTACTGGCGGCGGCGGCGGCGGCGGCAACAGCGACTCCGACTCCTCCCCACATGGGCCCCGGCGCGGCGCTGCGCTTCTCCCCTCCTCCGCCGCCGCCGAGGTCTCCTCAGAGCCGCCCTCCCGCCATCTTCCTCCTCCTCTCCATAGCCCCGCCCCGCCCCGCCCTCTAGACGTCATCCCCATGGTAACCGCCTACGCCGCAGCGACGAAAAGGGGTGGAGTAAGGGGCGGGATTTAGGGTGGGGGGGCACATTCCTTCAGACCCCGCCTCGTCTGTGCCGAACTTACTGGATTTCTACGCCTACCCCTGAGAAACGGCAGAGTAGTTAAAGCAATTAATATTAATACTGTGGCAACAATAGTCCACGCAAAACGTTTGCAAAGAACTGTGCAAATAATTTTTCATTCTAATATTTATTCTTTATAAGACCCTTAAGTATGGATCAGCATTAATCCAAATTGAGTAGCTGTTGTTGTTCTTGTGTGCCAGCGAGTCGGACTGGACTCATAGTCATAGCGACCCCTCCTTGGGTTTCTGAGCCAGTATCACTAAGGAAGTAGTTTGCCCCATCTTCCTTCCTAGGAGTGGCTGATGGGTTTGAACCGCCAGCCGTCTGGTTAGCAGGCAAGTGTCTTAGCCACTATGCTACCAGAGCTCCCAATTGAGTAGCTAGCACAGTCTAAATAGCTGTCACAGTCTAAATATTTAAGACCCAAATGTATTTAAAGGAAAGGTACTTTGCACACTCTAGGTGCTCAATAGGGAGGGTAGGACTCCACAGCAGTGATTTTGGTTTTGGGGGGTTTTTTAGGTGTTCAATAAATGCTTGTTGAATTTAATTAAAGATGTCAGTGCCAAAAATTGCATGCTGCTTCTGAATGTCAATGTAATTGTCTAACCTGGGGAATGAGATTGGGGGGTACAAAAAAGGACAATAACAACGCCTGGACCCAAACCAGGCCTGGAGGGTACCAACTGGACTTGCGACTGAGCTTCTTGTGGGCTTCTAACTGAAAGGAAAATCGATGTTGGAAGGAAGGAAAATCTCCTAAAGGAATAGTAGCAATCACTAACTCCAGGAACACGGGAAATAAGCCCGCCTTCAGGCTAAAATGTTCTTGGGCAGAATGAGGAATCGATCACCCATACAATTAAACATCACTTTGTGGAACTGATTGGCCTGGAGGACATGATTTGGGACAGAAACACAGGTCTCGTCTTGGGTGGAGAAGCCCTAGATAATAATGACTAATATTTAGGGAGAAAGAAAGGCCTGGTGATATACTTCTGAAAATTAGCTCATGAAAGTCTATGGATTACAACTGTTTGATTCTGTTGTACATGGGGTCACCATGAGTAAGAGACTTACTCGACAACAGCAATAACAACACAACACAATTTATTGAGTAAGGGCGCTCTGGTAGTGTAGTGCCTAAGGCATTTGACTGCTATCCAGAAGGCTGGCGATTCAAATGCACCAGCCACTCCTTGGAAGGAATGTTGAGCAATCTACTTCCATAGAGATACCGCCTAGGAAAACCAAGGAGGGGTGGCTATGATTCAGATGCGACTCCACAGCAGTGAGTTTGATTTGGTTTGTTTTCCATGTACTAAGTGGGAAGGTTGGGCAATCTACTTCTGTAGTGATACTGCCTCAGCAACCCAAGGAGGGGTCGCTAGTAGTCGGGCCGACTCAACGGCACATAACAACAACAACAAGAAGCACTGTTTTAAATGGTAACTTGTACTTTGCCCTTTAATTCTCACAATTTTGATGAGAAACAAAGTTTACTAGGGGACTGCTGTCACTAGGACAGTATTCTGAGGTATTGGTCAGTGCTGCTGGCTTTTTTTTTCCTCCATGTATTTTTCTCTTCTCCTTTCCCCTTAATTCATGCCAGTAAGGTTTCTGCAATTGTTTCCTCAAGGGAGAAGTGATGGAAAATAG